GAAACATTGATTTTGCAATTCATGGCAACAAAAGAAGAGGGCACTTCTTTCTCTTCTACTAGCAGTGTTAGCAGAGCCCATTGCCTACATAGTTCTTGGACTTTGAGGTGGTGGTACAGAAGGTAGTAGTAAGCTTACACCATGCTAAAATAAGATTTAGCAAAGCTCTCCTCTATAAAGCCCATAAGATGGGATGAATTTTTCATTTCCACTAAACACATATGAAAGGCTCTGTAAGTCTTCAGCAGTTCCCTAAAATATTAGTACTTGCTGGGAGATTGTTTTGCTTCTGAGTTTAAAGATTTTATTTCTAGAAATAAATTACTAAATTGAATTCTAACCTTGAAAGGAGTGTAGGGGAAACCCTTTTGCTCCATGAACACCCAAGGAAAAGCTCTTTTATTCTGTTCTTCAGCTTTTCTTAATGCAGACCCTGCTAATTAACTGCCCTGCCCTGTTCTTAAGGTGACAGTTCCCATTTGGCATCCTGAAGTAGATAACACAATATTGCACTTCTAATTTTGTCATAGAATCACTGTCAACATGGACAGGTGGCAAATTTTTCTTACTATCTCCTCTTCTTCAAATGAATCATCAGGACGTATTCTAGCCAAACATGCTTCTCCAAAGAAAGCAGTAGTGATGGAGGGAGGAACGAAATACGATGCCCCGAAGAGATTTCAGGCAAAACTGCTATCCAGTTTGTACAACTGTCAAGCAGCACTACTATGATATTCTTCTAAGAGAAGGTCTTGGTTGTTAATGTTTTCATAGCCTACAGGGCTCTTAAGAGTAGTTGGAAGAATTGGTGGCAGCTGAACTCCTGACCACTTGGGTCTGGGTATATTCACCTAATTTGGATGCATCTGGGAGGGAGAGTGGATCTCATTTAGCTTCCTCCATGGATTATATTTCTACTGAAATGCAGAGAGACATGATGGACATACTAGAAGTGCGTCTTCCAAAATTATTTTTGCTGTCAGATTGTGCATCAACCTTTATGTTCTTGTTTTCAGTGCTTGAAATATCATCATATTTGTTGTTCAGTCTCTTCCAGATTGCCCAAAGCACTGTTATTTCATAAACAAAGGCTCAGAAAAATCAGATTTAACAGGAGCCTTGGTCAGTAAAATCCCATTTAGCCATCCGAAGTGTGTGCATGGCGTAATAGAGATTCTTCGACATCAAGTGGCATATAACAGTCTTATTAGCAGCTGTGTCTCTGAGAAGCATATAAATGAAGGTAAATTGTGTGGCTGGAAGTAATGGCAGAGTATTAGAGAGAAACTAGTTTCTCAGCTGGGTGTTAACAGATTTACTGCTCCCTTGCCAAAGCTGTCATTACTTATGGAGTATTTGAAATGATAGAAAATCCTTAATTCTAGTATTACACTCTGATTATTTTTTTAAAAAATCTCCTAGGTCTGACACTTCTATAAGCATAAACTAAGTTGCCAAAGTAATTAATAATTAGATTCTACTGTATCAGTATTTTTTAAATTCTGGCATGTGATTCAGCCAAAGAGTCCAGGTTCAATGCGTGAATATGACTAAATAGTAATTTTATTTCTAGATGATTCAGAACTGCTTTACTTTGAAGTGGTACCACAGAAGAACACCAGCTTTTCTGTCTTTTTCCTTCATCCTGTGAAAGAGAATTTAGCCTGTGGTACGTGTGGAATAATTGATACTGTCCTCTTTATTGGGCTGACAAGGGACTTGGTCCTATCTAGGCTCTTGCACTACGCTCCTCCATTACAAATACATTCTAAGGGCTACTCTCAATGGTGTGCAACCCATGAAAAACACAAAGTAGCACTTGTGTATAAATTGCTTACTAAAGTGTTCTGTATTCAGCATAAAACAGAAAGTAAATGCAAATATTCAAGTCCTATTCTGTCTTGGCCTGCAGTTAATTAATAAATTGTGAGTTCTACTGTTTCTGATTTAAGTATATTAGGAAAAAGCAAGTCTTATGCAAGAGCACTGCTGCAAGCCCCTTCCCATTGACTTCAGTCTCACCTCTCTTGAAGCACGAGAATGAAAGGATGGTTTTCAACGCTTATAAAAATGTTTATTTTGAAATACTTATACTCTGTTCTTTCTTAGTGATAATTGATGTTATAACCTCCAGAGACGTCCAATGTCACCTTCATTTAAATCCTCAAGATCCAACTCTAAATTCTAGTGACGACTTTATAGCAAGAGCTGTGAAGCGGTAAGTAGTTTTATTTTATTTTGTAACAGTTGGAATGAACCTCAGATGTCCATTTAAAGGAAATATCATGTGCGTTCACAATGCCATAAACTCAAACAGAAAACTTCAGTCTAGTAAAAAGTTGTAATAGTGAGAATAAGTTACTTCAGTGTCTTAAGTACCTCTCTCAAAAATTTTAAACATTGATAGTGATGGAAAGTGTTTCTTTCTAGTAGAAACCATGTGGGGCAGGGAAACACTTTCGAATGAAGACAGTTTTACCTTTTATAAAGATGCTCTTTTTTTTTCTTTTGTAAACATGTTTTTCTGAAGACTTTAGCTGATGACAGTCTCATGACTGGTATAACTTAAAATAGCACGGAAAGGACTTTTTCCACATCTACCGAATACCAATCAGTGCTTCTTTTCAGAAAGTGAGGTATATATGGCACATCTACAACGCTGTCTCTGGCTTGTTTTCTGAAACAAATTCCCAGAGAGGCAAGTTGCTGTGATATATGAACATATGTTAGAGAAAGGACTGGGAGCACCAATTTATTTGGCATAAGCTAGTATACAACTATTATCTATTTGATGACAGCAAGATCAATGCAGGTTGGATTTTGAACCTGTTTAATTAGCCTGCCCTGTCTTAAGTCACAGGATACTAGACACTATTCCCGGAACCAGGTAACTCTATTGTTAAGGTGGAAAAAAAACTCCTCTAGTGTCGATAGTGTTTTAGAGAAGATATGCTCTGTACCTGTCTTATACAAAACATGAAAGTTACAATGATAAAACTCAGGAAGAATGAATATATTTCAATATTATAGTTTAGGTTTTCATTAAAAGCACCCTTATGACTTTTTTTCTTTTTTTGACCAAACCTTCCCGTTCTTTCTATCAAAGTTTCTTTGCACGGCTAAGCTCAAAGATCCGGCACTTGATTTCATTGTGTCAACATATGTTTCTGGTATAGCACATGTAGTTATATTGTAGTTAAATGTAACGCCTATTATGTTGTATAGGGCAAAAAGATGCAAGGAGGTAGTGCTGTTTTCCACCACATGTACCATTCAGGTGTCAGCCACAGTTTAAAAAAAAGTATGTTGAAGAATGGATGAAGTCTGTAATAGTGACTAATATTTCATTTCCTCCTTCAGTTGCATGTCAGTCCCAGTTGTCATGAGAGCGATTTTCAGGAACGCTGCCAAGGTGAAAGCTGATAGTGAAACACAAGACATGGAAGTAGACATGAAACAAAAACCTCAACCACCATCTGAGCAAATTATGGATTCTAATAGTCTTAAAGCTCTTTCTGTGGCTGGTCTGCAAGATTTGATAGTGACAGATAAGCCAAGTATTACAGACAGCTCAAAAGAAAATCTCTCCACAGCCAAACTGGAAACTCTGGGTGATAACATGGAAAAAAGTAACCCCACAGTAAGCACAGAAACTTTGTGCAGAGTGGAGGAAAGTACTTTCGCAACTAGTACAGAAGCTGTTATGATAGATAAGTAAAACACACAATCTATTGTTTGATAATCAAACAAGAAAGAAATATTTTCCCTGGTGTAGATTGCTTTTGCAGAAGTAGTTGGAGAGAACTTGGCAAGCTCACTGTCTACTTAGTAATTTGTGAATGAAGTTTCCTCTTTGCACACTATTAAATACATAGAAGTAATACTCTTGAATTTGCATTTTTAAACTTCCAAATTTGGAAAGTCTAACACTGCTCTAGTGACCTTTATTTTTGTCTGCACCATATTCTACCACAGTATGGAAGAAATTTCTGTCTAACATACGTGATACAGGCTATAACATAACACATCCACTTGTAGAAAAGTAATGTTTATCCATGTCAGCATTATGCTAAATAAATTGAGAAAAAGAAAGTTGTTTGAACAATTTTGTACATACATAATTAATGCAGACAGCCCTATTTGTTCACTATTTCAGAAACAGGTTCAGTAAGAGACTCTTAACTGCAGTTCTGTTTTCCCCTAATGCAGAAGTGGCACTGAATGGCAGCCAACCTTACGGTCTACCAACTCCATGGCAGGATGATAGTCTTTAGTAAGAAAGTTGTAAACTCAGTCTCTGAAAATCAAGTAATTTTTACCTTAGCTTTTTTCTGGCCTCAAAGTATAAAACTGTTTTGTGATTTAATTTTTTTTTTTTTTTTAAAAGTATCGTTAAGTCAGCCTTTCAAAATTTCAGTTTCTCTCTGTCTAAACCTGCTTTGTCTCAGACATGAAGGAAAGTTACAAGCCACTTAAAACAAGTAAACTCCTAACTTACTGCAAATCAGTTCAATTAGTGTAAAACAGAGATAGGCATTCACAAAGAAAAGACTTCCTGACCAGAGCAATTTGCAGCTACAGTTAAGGCAAGCAACAGGAAAAGGAGTCAAACATAGAATGTTGGCACAGAAATACAAAGTTGTCAGAAATACACGTGTTTCTAAGAGAAGGTGAATAAGCCTGGCTTCCTTGAAGAGTTTGGGAAAAACACGATGGGAATGGGGGAAAGAGTTCAGGCTAGAAGGACTGGTGAAATAAATACAAAAATAACACAAGGAAATTATTAGACTGGAAATGTGTTCAGTGTGGTCTAACAGGGTAAGATTAGATGGTCTAACAGTAAAACCATGGAATTGTCAGTAATTCTGCATTTGAAGAGAATGGTGTTTTCAGCAAAAGTTAAAATAAATAGAACTGTATGAGGAGGAAAAAAATAATTTTTAACTGTGAAAGTGCACTGCATAGTGGTTACAAAAGATAAGAGGAAGAATTTGACAAAAGGTGAAAAATTCCTATATTTTATATAGTGACTAGAGAGACTCACAGCACTCTAGAAATCAGCAGCAAATCCTGCTCTATTTTGCATAGAGTTAGCACATCATCAACAGCAGCTTATTCTGCAAGAACAATAGCACTGGGCATTTATTTTTTAGATATTAGAGGGGACCTATTCAGAAGGGCTATTTAAGGGACCTGCTCTATTTCCAAACTGCTGCCAAAAGAGAAAGTGAGAGTGAAATGATAGCTTCTGACACAGAACAGAAACATGTTTAGTAAATCATTGTAGAGCTTTAAAAGTAATTTCCCCTTTCTGTGTAAGTTACATTTAAGATTGGAAGTAAGGGTTGTTTTGCCAGGAGCCAAAGCATGGTGAAGATTTACAGAAGTTACCTCTACTGGGAAGCATCAAAATCAGATTTCCCTAAAACAAAGTGATGCATCAGCCTGTACGTGGTCCACAAACTGAGAATCAAATCCAGTGGAGATAATTTTAAATACCATGAGACAGAAAAACTAATGTTCCAGTTGCTGGACATGGTGGAGTATATCCGGTGATAAGCCCAGTTGCTCTACTAGCCAAACAGTCTGCTTTTTAACCCAAGCAAGGGTTGACCTTTCAGGATCTGTACAGAGTTTTGCCTTGCTGCACTTAGACTGCAAGGAACCAACCTCACCATTATTTCTACAAATGTTTTCACCAGAGCTGCCAACGTCTTCGTGTTTTCCGGCTTTAACTTCATTGTACTCTGTCCCAGCTGGTGCTGTGTGATTAAGGTCCATGTCCTGAACAGAATCTAAAATGTGTCTGAGATGTGGCTGCTGTTCAACAGAATTCAGATACTTAAGCACATCTTCTTCATGCTTTCCAACCACATCAAGAAGATTATTTATCTTACTTAACGCAGAATCATGTCCATTAAAATGACACCAGGATAAGAGAGCACTGAAAAGTGAAGAACAACAACAAAAAAAAAAAGTAATTACATGTACCCACACAGACCCCGAGCTGTTGAAGGGAATCAGCAATGTGACGATATCTATACTATATAAATGTATATATCTTTCATTCACATTTTCTGGGAAATTCAAGCAGTAGAACTGAATATTAAGCTTAAAGAAGTAGATTCAGATAATTTTGGAAGAGCAACTGAAGGAGGATTTTTAAGAATGACCACTCTACACCCAGGTAGGTAATTCCCTGTATTCAAGACCTGAGAATTCCCAGGTTGCTCACTTTGGACAGATTTACAATGCACTTTTTTTTTAAATTAAAACAAACAGAAAACTTGCATGCATGCTCCCTCCGTACACACCCTCCACACATACACGACCTTAAGGAGTTTGTAACCTACTTCAGGGTTCCTCTGAACTGGCCACATGTAACCATCAGCTCAGCACCGTGTCTGTAACCTTGATTAAAGCCTTCCTGGAGTGCAAGTTCTTTCCCAGCCTCAATTCCATCCCTATAGCCTTCCTGTAATAAGAGTAGTGAAACAGGTTGTTCACAAGATGAAAAATTGGACCTATGGCAATTTCATAACAACAAAAAAAGTTTAAACAAGTATTCAGTCTCTTAAATTACAGCTTCTGGATTTGAAGATGCCGCCCGGCTACACCCCCACTGCCAAACCAAAACATGCTTTTTGCAGTGCATTATGATTTACTGATCTGTAAGATCCAGTTTTTTTCCAAAAGGATCCCCAGAAGGTCAGAAAATAAGAAAAGTATTTTTAGAAATGTCAACAAATAAGACAAAACTGCAGGAAAGCATGCTTGCTTTTATGATGACCAACTCCTTTATGAAAAATTCCTTAAAGAATACCACATATAGATTTCTAGACATCTAAAAATACATAGGCTGCAAAGCTTCCCCTTTAGCAGAGGTACCCTCCTGTCTGTAATCCATCTACCTGTTTTCACAAAACTAATTATTGAGCCTTGCTTCTCTGTTTGCCATATCACTCGAGTGTTATACGGGAAAAAAGACGGTGATGGAGTGAGTCACATATAAATTATACATAACATTATGATTGCTTTCTGTAAGAAACAGCTAACGATTGTAATGCAAATTAATTTCTTTATATTCTAATCACATTACCATATAACATAGAATAATTCTCAACTTTTTTTCACACCAAAAACCTTAAGGAGTTTGTAACCTACTTCAGGGTTCCTCTGAACTGGCCACATGTAACCATCAGCTCAGCACCGTGTCTGTAACCTTGATTAAAGCCTTCCTGGAGTGCAAGTTCTTTCCCAGCCTCAATTCCATCCCTATAGCCTTCCTGTAATAAGAGTAGTGAAACAGGTTGTTCACAAGATGAAAAATTGGACCTATGGCAATTTCATAACAACAAAAAAAGTTTAAACAAGTATTCAGTCTCTTAAATTACAGCTTCTGGATTTGAAGATGCCGCCCGGCTACACCCCCACTGCCAAACCAAAACATGCTTTTTGCAGTGCATTATGATTTACTGATCTGTAAGATCCAGTTTTTTTCCAAAAGGATCCCCAGAAGGTCAGAAAATAAGAAAAGTATTTTTAGAAATGTCAACAAATAAGACAAAACTGCAGGAAAGCATGCTTGCTTTTATGATGACCAACTCCTTTATGAAAAATTCCTTAAAGAATACCACATATAGATTTCTAGACATCTAAAAATACATAGGCTGCAAAGCTTCCCCTTTAGCAGAGGTACCCTCCTGTCTGTAATCCATCTACCTGTTTTCACAAAACTAATTATTGAGCCTTGCTTCTCTGTTTGCCATATCTCACTCGAGTTATACGGGAAAAAAAGACGGTGATGGAGTGAGTCACATATAAATTATACATAACATTATGATTGCTTTCTGTAAGAAACAGCTAACGATTGTAATGCAAATTAATTTCTTTATATTCTAATCACATTACCATATAACATAGAATAATTCTCAACTTTTTTTCACACCAAAATTGCAAGTTGTAAGACCGAAAACTTCTATTTGCTCATGAGAGAAGAAAATTGGTGGCCTTGCTAGAGAAATAGCCAGGAACAAGAACGTTTCTTTATTTTGCCCAACATACAGCTCTAACCTCAGTAACATTTTATGATTTTGGAGTATCTACTCATAAAATACCAGAAGGATTTGCGTAAGAACACTAAACAGCCCCTTAAGAAAACCAGTCTTTTCAAGGGACTCAGATGCAGGAAACCTTTCCTTGGAGAATAATACAACAGCTCTGTTGTAATGCCCTTCCTCATCAACAGCCTACACAACAGCTTCCATTCATGTTCTTCAGCCAAATGCTGTTCACCCATGAGCAGACGAGCCCTACTGGCCCCACTCTGAATGATAATGTATTTGTTGAAGTAACCTGGGTTTATGTACTTGTTCCCTGCAGAATTCCAGGGAGAGAAGGTCTGCAGAAGCCTGCTTTCATAAAATGTATTTTTCACTAGGAGAATAAATAAGCCACAGAACTACCCAGACCACAACATCCAATTGTGGTTCCACATGGAGTCACACATCTTAAATCTGACTGATGAAGAAATCTACTTAAAACCCCAAACATCTCATATTTCTTTATTAGCACTGTTTATCTGTGTTGCCCTACATTTACTCGTGGTATACTACAAGTATGAAGCAAATAGCTCACATGAGAATTTAGCACTGCCTTTTACAAATGCATATGGTTGTACAGAGGGAGCCAATGTCTTTTGGTAAACCAGTGCTTTGCTCTGATAGACTACTAGGATAGAGTTTCTGTAAATCCCTGCTAAATTTTCCTGACATTCAGAAGAAACTAAGCCACAGTAACTTTTAAGCAACCACTCTTAGCTTTCCCTTTAAATCAGCCATATGTATATCACGGTATGTATCAGTAAATCTAAAATGGTTAAAAAGACTATTAAATTATTGTTATACCTTCAATCTTTTTTTCATGGCGCTGTTCCATTCTTTCTGTAGTAGATACATCTCATCTGCATCTTCATCAAATATATCCTCACTGGATCGGCTGACTGCAACTTGTACCCAGGACATAACAGCAGTGATGACTATGACCTCTGTTTATGTGGTAAAAAAAATACTGAGAAACTCTCAAAAGTCCCTCTAGCTAAGTGTCAGATTAGAAGTATAGGCAAAAAATGTGAGTTCTGAAGAGAAGTCATGTACGGAGCTGATTATTCAGCCTGTACATTCGTTTCCACATGGAAAACGGATGCTGTTTACCATCAGGGTGCATCTGTCAAGAGAAGACAGTCAGATCATCACTGGTAAAGCAACTTCTGTAATTTACGAGGACAACTTAAGACAGTAGTTTCTTCCCTTCTTATGGCAGTGACATGCATATGCACGTTAAATGATCATTTCTAAATGTCGCTAGTACACGAGCAGCAGGCAGAAACAACTTTATGACTTGATTCTGATAGCAGCTGACAAATAGCCCCATATAGCTTCCATGCAGTGCATTAAGTTATACACATAGGTAATTGCCTGCAGAGTTAATAACCGGCAAGGACTTTCACTTCTGATTTTTCAGTTTCCTGGTTATGCCAAACACTTAACCATCTTATAAATCTTGAATAGAAATACTCCTTTATATTTTGAATAAAGAATTAGCTAGTTCTACTGCAGAGAGAAGACGTAACTGGATTATTTAATCTTTTCCACTGAAGAAAACCTTAAGAGGCCACTCACAACTAATCCATTGCATCGGTGGAAATTCTTACAACCCACAAACGCTGCTTCTTGCAGAGGCACCAGCGGCTCTTAGGGACCCGAGGGCCCTAAGAGCCATCCTGCGCCCGGCCACGCTGCTTTTTCTGGGACACAACTGGCTGGAGTCTCGCAGTCTACAGGCTCCCTCCCTGCGGCGGGCCAGAGGTGCACCCCACCGTCCCCACACCTTTCCAGCCAGCAGATCGCAAAACCATGCCACGACGCGCCAGCGCCGCCCTACCCAAACCTCGGCCGAACCCACAGGCCCCCCGTCACGCGGCCCCCCCCCCGCCATTTCACGGCCGGTCGCTCAACCCGGCAGGCACCCAGCTCCCCACAAGCCGCCGCGCTGCGGAGAGCCTTCCTTCTCCCCCACCTGGCGGCAGGCGCAGCCTCGCCTCACTTCACTTCGCCTCACCTCCGCCGGCTGCTCGCTCAGCCCCGCGCTCCGTCTCCTCACCACAGCCGCCGCGCCACGGCGCTCCACTGCCCACTGGGGGCCGCCATCTTGGCTAAGGCCAAACTGGCTTCACTGCCGTCGGAAGCAATAGGGGAGCAGCAGCCATGTTGGCTGAGGGCAAGCTCCGCGGAGGCCACAGTTAAACAGCCGCCATCTTAACCCGTAGTCCCGTGGCTTCAAAGCCCGTCTGAGACGCTGGAGGCGGGCGGCCATCTTGAGTGAGGGCGCAGCCTCTCATCCTCCTCAAGGAGGCGGGACGGGGTGGCCGGGCCGCTGGGCCGTCCTGCCCACCGAGGGGTTAGAGTCGGTGGAGGAGGCCGGGCGCTGGCGGCGGAAAAAGCCATTACTGTGAACCCCTCTCCCGGCTCTCCAGAGCGAGGGGCGTGTGCCTGCTCCAGGCCTTCCGCAGTAGCCTCAGGCCAACTCTGGGGGGAGTGTGTTCCCCGGGGCATGGAGGTTTCGTCCTCTTTTCAGCCATACATTGTGGAATTTTTAAAAAAATCTGCCTCCTTGGCTTCTGAATCCGCAAGGTCAAATGTGCCCTTAAGCTGTCCTCTACAAGATTTAGGCATCACAATAATAAATCCTTTTTAATATGAAGGGTGCCAGCAGGAGTCAAGTGTTTCATTTTTTGCTTCTGTTGGAGAAAACAGTAGCATGCTTTTGACATAAATACCACAGAATAATGTGTTTTTCTTGGCGCACGCTGCATTTAGCATATGAGTGTAAGTTTAAAGTTGGTTAAAACATACTATACATCAACTTTGAATTCAAGTTGTATGTCTCTCCAAATTGCCAACTCCTGTTACAGTAAATGCCCTCATGTACTGAGTGCTTCTGCAGGTCCCGGAGAGGGAGCATGTTTGCTCCTCGTCCGGAGAGGCTGATTCCCTGTTTACCAGGCTGGCCATGGCGCCACACTCACCCCATGGCGACTGCCAGGTGTCCCACCTCCTGTCCCACGGATGGCTGGTGAGATTCATGACAGCAGAGCCTGTCCTCACACTGCAGGTACTGAGAGATGAACGATCGCGTGCTGCAACTCACACAGCGACAGCACTCTCATTCCTCTTGTCCCTTTTGTTTTGCAGAGACAGCCTGTCCTCCTGCTTGTGGCCCTTCTTGGATGCTCGCTGCTGGTTGCATGCTGAGGTACGAGTGGCCAAGTTACCCAAATCTGTCTAGAAACTGGTGTGTCAGGGGATGAAATGACACTGGTGCCTCTGGATGTCCAGAACTGTGCATATCTGTTCCTCAGCAGTTACTATACACATCCACGACTGCTGATTTCCTAGCTCAGTCCTATCACTTCCACCTCCTGTCTGGTAGAGGCTTATTTAGCTAGCTCTGCCATTTTTTTAAACAGGCAACAATGCTGAATATAGCCCACATGCACAAATGCACAGTCACAGAAAAGCTCGTGACCTCCTCATGACCGGTCATAATGGCACTACTAAACCTGGGTTAACCCTTTGCTTATCATCTTGCACTCTGTCCCCTCAGCCTCTTGCTCTTCGGGGAAAGATACACAGGTCATGCCTTAGGGTCGCTGTGAGTTTCCCAATTCAAACTATCTCTGTTTAAATGTCTTACATTTACCAAAGTTGATCATTCCACACAGATGTTTGTGTAAGAGAAATCCTTATAACCATGAGAAACAATGAAGAAAGCTCATATTCCCACCCCTTTCTCTTAGTAGTTGTGGGTGGATAATTTGGTGAATCATATTGTATACATAGAGCACCATTGTTGAGTTACGAAGTGCAGTTGCAACTTGAAGACAAGTTGATTGTATGCTGATGGCCTTGACAGGGCTGCTGGCAGGGCTTGAGGGTGAGGTGTAGTGCCTCAGGGTGTGGATGTTTTCCACACCTATGTGTGTTCTAAATAAAGCAGTGTCTGCCTATTATGGTGACACTTTGTAATGACACATGCCAAAGGATCAAAACATGAGAACAATATTTCACAGGCTACAAAAGATTTCTGGCATTTGCAGAATAACGAAAAGTCATCTGAAAATGTGAAAAACAAAGAAGTAGTTGATTTGTGACCCATTGTAAAATTTGTCACTGCCATATCTAAGATTAAAAACTGGCTAATTTTAGGCTTATGGTATCTGTTATATCAAAGGTATCTCTGAGCCATGAACACGCTTGGCTCAGCAGTTGCTCCCTGCACACCTGGAGTACTGCGGAGAAGTTCCAGAGAGGCCAGTACACAGTCGTGCAGAGCTTAGGACTACCAAGGGGTTGCGGGAGATCATTACAAAGGATTTCTGTCAGCTTCATCTTAGTGGTAAGGTTTGCCATTAAGCAATCAGCCACAAGTGATCGCCAAAAGTAAAATATATGAACATAGTGGCATGGGCTGCTCCTTTACACCTTTCTTACTGTACATAATGCTTCAGATAAAGCATTGCTCCCATTCAGATCATTATTACACACTCCTGCCTTTCAGCCATCAGTGCCTCAAACCCAAACTGACGGGAGTAGCCAATGGATTTCGTCATAATGCACAAAGACCCCTCAAGATTTCAAGCTTTTTTGGAGGGTGGTTGATTACCATAGCCAGGACTTGTGCTGTGTATGGGCTACTCTGTGGGGCAGGATGATCACATTCTCGCAAGGGCAATTTCTATTGCTATGTACTGCTGTCTCTGGCAGAGTTGAGCTAAGGCTTGTGAAGGGCCCAAGGTAGAGGACTAGTTACACCATAAATTATTCTCCAATCATACAATGCTTATTGTCGTGGACCAACAGAACCATTTTTTATTGGCTCTAATTTTGGGAGTAATATAATCCTTTTAAGAAATGACAGCTCTTAAATGGTATTTGGATGAATTTAAAGAACACTTAAATCACTGTTCACTTGTTCTCTGCAGTAAACAAGACTAAAACTTAATGGGAAAGAGTAAGCTATTGAAATGTGAGGAGAATGAAACCCATCAATATTTAATAAAGATGGTATATGCATTGTCACCAAACATTGCACAAAGTTTCTGAAGAGTCTTAAACCATAAGTCCCTCCCAAAATGCATATTCTGCCTATGGTCAGGTCTGTAGTCTGACCAGGCTCTACTGACTGGTCAGATTCTAGGCTGTTTTCCTTTAATATGCTGACTAACAGGGCATTGGTAGGACTGCCTGCAACAGCAACAAGAAAGACATACTCATGCTCACATGCAGCCTATGTTTCTGTCCTGATCTTGGCTCTCTGTGCATTTTTCCTTCATGTGAGGGGTGGTGGGGTTGTGTACTGCTGGCTGGATGTTGCAATAATAATACAGTGACCTCCAGTGCTTAAATCCTTTGCTTCCAGACCTACTACAGAGAAGGAAACAGTGAGCTAACAGGTTAACTGCAAGGTTATAGGCTTAATGGGGTTTTAAATATTGCAGCTCACAGCACAGGAGACTATAATGACCCTAAATTATACAAGAGGGTTAAAATAAACCTCTAGGATCAATGATTATTACCAGGGCACAGTAATAAACATACATTTCTGTGTTTTCCTATAACATCTCTCATTCAGGATATTAAGGCAATTTACTAGTAAAGCCCTATAACCCTCTTGTGATGAAGATAAGTAATACATAGGAATCACTTCCCTGTTTTTGTGAAATCACTTCTCTCTCTATGACATACGATAATATTACACAACACTTTGGGTCAAAATGTCTCATTTGATGTCAGGAGAAAATGGAAGAATATGGAAAAGAGCTAGAAATTTATGAATATATCAAGGGTAAATGTCCAACATTCATTTCAAAGCACCACAGGAATCTTAATAACCATTTTGCCATTACTTTTCACCCAAGTGTTTTCAAGGGAGAGGATAGTTTTCTGCCTCTTCCTTCCCCTGTATTACCAAAGCACAGAACTTTGACAGTTAAGTGTTACAACATGGCAGTTTTCCTACTTGCAGAATCATTACCATTTCAGATTCTGGCAAAAAAAGAAACCTTTCCTGAATATTCCATGGCCTGCCAGCAGTTTGGCTTGTACTGAATTATAAGTGGAAGTGGTTAAGCAAAGGAATATTTTTTTCCCCCTGCTTTCCCCAGGCTTGCTTTGAACATCCCCAGGGAAGCCAGGCTGAAAAACTGCACTCTGAACTGTTGCGTACTAAACAGAGCAGCAGGTACAGTTTATTAACACCAACGCAGTTCCCCTCCATCTGTCATTTTCCTTGGTTTGCTCCTCATATGAGTGATATTTGTTGTCCCCAGATGTAGTCCATATTTTCATTCTGGAACTTCAATAACAACTCTAACATTGCAAAAAAGATGGTACAGCTGAGATCAAAATGAACTATATACACATTCCAGCTCAAGATTAATGCCGACAGAACAGAGTGTAATATGGGACTGCACTATCCTTTTTAGTATATACAACAGAGAAGCAAGGAAGGAATATTCCTAATTGTCTTCAATCTGTTGACAGTGAGCTTTTTACAGTGTGAAATTCCACATGAACAGAAAAAGGTTATGTCAATAAGGACAAGAAAATGTAATAAATTCTACATTTTAGTTGTGTAGCTGAATCACGTGTCTACCGAAATTGTAATATCAGTGATGAGTCTGACTGCTTTTGTATCATCAATAAATCAGGACCCCGTAGCTCTGTGACTCAGATATCCTTTAATAAGATTTTTCTGTTATTGGTTACTTTTTTTAATGCAGAGCTGCCTTTTTTGTTTGTATAATAATTGATCATAATATGCAAATAATTACTGTAAATGTAATTGGTCCAAGGAAAATGCTGTATTCTACTTATGAATTTCCCCAGTGAATTGCACCTCTATTCAAATCACACAGAGTGTTTGTCACACTTGCGTTGCTTCAACGGGAGAGAAATACCAGCGCTTTTCCTTTGGCTAAGAGATGAATTGCCCTCTCTGTTTTATCCCTTGTATAAACTCAGGCAAATGATGAAAACCTGCAGGAATAGTAGCTGTACAATGCTGATCCAATTGTCTGAAGTGAATAGAAGTGCTAGAAGGCATAAAACTTGCGGAGTGCACTGATTCCTC